GACGCAAAAGATAGCGACTAGAGTTTGACTCAAGTCTGAGTAAGGAACTTAAGTTTACTAACAAAACATCAACATTACTGAACTCATCTGAGCTCCCTGGGGAGTGTATGAGCCAAGTGCTATTGTGTTTAGCTGTTGATGCCCATTTCAGGCACTAACCAGTCTCTGCCCCCACAGCTACCCATTTACTCCTAGGTGGAGAGATTCATTTTGGGGTCAAGTGACTTGCCTTAGGTGGCAACATGTAACCAGCTGCTAGGATTGGAATCCCTGACCCAGTTATCAGGAGCTACGAACTCTAAACACTGAGCCTCGTCTCTGTCACAGTCACCCTGCTTGAGGTGGTAGTCTTGGCATGTGCACGGGGCGGATGCATGAGCCCAGTTGAAAACTTCCCATCGGCCTAGTGACTCCTTGCCAGAGAGGGAGAAGTTTTAGTTAAGAGCAGATAAAATAAAAATTTACGTTGTTTGGCACATTTCAGGACATGGAGGAGAGATTGCCGCCAACTCCATTTGCCATGCTGCTGAACAATCAGCAGCGTAAAGCAGAAAAGGAGGAAGGAGTCAGGATGCAAGACCTGCCTGCCTCAGCCAACATGAGAGAGGTGAGTCTTCTGACAAGGCATTCCTTGACCTGGTGAGGCATGGCAGTGTGTCTGTAACACTATCAATTATGGACCCCTATTACCCTTGAATTTATTTCCTAGATCTTCGGCTTACCGATTCAAGCATATCATGCAACTCACCTAGCAGAAAACAGGCATGCAACATTTCCTCAGATCAGCTGATTTCCTTGTTTCTCACTTCACTTTCATTCTATTGAAAATTGAAAAACACTGTACAAAGTCTTGTAAAGATTGGAATTTCCTCGTATTTTGTCAAAGTCTAAGTTGCATGCCTGAGAATAGATCTTACCCTTGGCCACGCTTAGGTGCAAAAAAGCTCCCATTGTCCCACTCCACATCAGAAAATACCTGTTTGCACATTCTCAATGTTTGTACTTGTCCCCGTTCGTCAGTGGTGGTTATACCAGAGAAAAGTTTGTATTGGGAATTTTGGCTTGTTTTTAGAAAGGGAAGTCTGTTATGTGAGAATAATCTTGGCAAAGATCCACCTCATACCGGCTAAAATTGTAGAGTTGGGTCTTTTTGTCCTTTCTTATCCACTTCTATAATGTGTTTCAGATTTAGCTGGTATGTGAAGTTTTTGTGTACAAGGCCTGTGCCGGGTACCCGCCCGTTGATATCAAAACTCGGTTCCATTTTTTCAGGTCGAGTACCCTTAAAAAAAGTTCCACATATAAAATGTATGTGAACTTCAATAGTGAATGACTGAAAAATCACCATGCCCGCTGAAAAACCTGGTCCCACAGTCAAACTGCACTTCAGAGATAGAGGGAGCTATTTTTGGTATAAAATGAATATAATAATAAAAGGGGGGATTCCCCTCTATGTTTAGAACAATGTGTTGCTTCCTATTTCCAAATAAAAAAGCCATATTTCGGGCACATGGTCTGTGAGGATTGCACGTAATGCCATCTGTTAAGTGTTCCTGATATGTTCAGGGTACTTGAGTACCGGGTATTGACGTAAAATGGATACATGGTAAAAAAAAGGCACACGCCTATTGTGTAGTTTCCTGTTTTTGTACTAATTATGTATTGGGTTATCTTTTGTTTGGGAGAATTTTGTGAAGTTAACACCCATGTTATTCCAGTTCCCTACATCTGTATGTGTTTGTAGTCACATTTCATGAACTGAACATATTTGCACTTTCTTTCTCATCCAAGATGCTTCAAGCGCCAGCTCACATATTACCACCGGTCAAGTCTCTGTGTGCTACATTCCTTCAGGGGCTTCTAGACCCAGGAACAAAAATGCTCAAAAGGTAGGAGCTCAAAAAGTGCAAACCAGACAGTTGATGAAAGCACAAACAATGTTTTTTCTTGACATGCTTATTAATACAAGCAATAATAATACAATAATACCATAATAGCAATAATAATACAATAATACACTAATAGCAATAAATATACAATAATACCTAAAAGCAATAATAATAGCAATAATGATACAATAGTAACCATAATAATACAATAATAGCAATAACAATACACTACACTGTATCCTGAGTGTTACAAAGAAACTAATTTGGTTCCAAGTCTGTGTAGCCTTTGTATTCCATTCCTTACAAGACTTCTGCTGTTACAGGTAATTTGCAAAGTCCCAGTGACATTGTCATAAAACGATATTGTCTTGCATCGGAAACAATGAAATCTTTTTTATATTACATTGCATAAACTTGAATAAAGGATGATACACACGTACACCGGTGATTCTTGTTCACGTACTTGTATTAAGTAATATTTCTGAATTCTGTTTTGTGATTCCAAAAGTTTTCTTGTTTTTCTTTTCCTAAATAGGAAAGAAGAAAGAGATATGGATGAGTCAGATGAAGATAGTGACCAAAAGTCCGACTCTGAAGAATCTGATATGGACATGGAGACAGCTGGTGGTGGTGCCGTGAACCAGTCAAAAGACACAGGAAACGGCACCGACCAATCACAAGACTCTGAAGATCACAAGGATCAATCAGAACTACAGGCCAGATCAGGTGGTCAGTACAGAACTCAAGCATTAAGTGAGGCAGATCTCAGGCGATTGGCCAAAGTGTCGAGATCTGGGCTCAAATGGATGCACAAGGTCTTCCAAGAAATATACTAGGATTGGACTTAAAGTACTTACACCTGAATGTGGACAAACCACTTTCATCAGATAGACAGGAAGGAATGGATTTGCTTTCAAAGACAGCACTGTGGACCTTAAACACCAAGTACTGTGGAGAGCTTTTGGATCCAAATTAATTTCAGCTGTGTTTCACCTGAGAAGTGGATGGAGGGAAAGCTTTGACATCTGTTTAGGTAAATTACCTCGATTACTCCAAGTACAACCTGGCCTTTATGACATTAATCAACTCTTTCTCAAAAGCCTTCAAGAGAGATTCCACTGGAACCAATGCACCATGCTCTGTAGCACTGTTCGTTTCAAGTGCTTCCAGTCAGAGTCTTTCTTATAATTACAACTCTGTATAGACATGGAGTTTGCTGAAAACTTCGTTGGGCCAGAGGTTGTAATGCTGAGATAACACTTCTTCTGAGAAGCCATCACATTTTTAGCATTGATGCCAATAAATGTTATCTCCAAAGATTTCCAACTTGGCAATTCAAATATTGACATGAGTGTGCTCATTAATCTCGACTGTGAACCCCTTGACATCTTCTCTAGTATCATCGCAGTGTATTTTTTGCATGCACCAAACCTTCAAGATTATTTTTGGAGAATCCCTTGCGGTCATTTTGACACCACTTTGGTGAAATCAGACAAACCGTTCTCACATTGCACCCATTTTTCTGAGGCAGGTCAGCCAAAAATGTGTACTTCATCCATTGACTTGCTTGATGCAAGCACGCTCGAGGTGATGAACTTCAATGACCGTGACAACGTAAACATGCTTTGGATTTTGTGGAAATTTCCTAGTTGTATTTAATATGAGTCTTTCGATATGCATGCCAAGCTCCAAAAAGATTGGACATGGGACAGCCGATTTAACCATATTTATGGAAGAATATGCTGCTCTTATTACATCCCCCAAATCTTTTTGTTTTTTCGCCGTAAATATTGAATATGAGAAAAATAAATTCACTTGAAGTTAACGTTTTTCAGGAGTTGTTAGCTGTTTTCGATTGTGATCAACGAGTGAGCTTTTTTTTTGGGGGGGGACAGAACATTTAAGAGAACATTTCTTACCTAACTCTGGCGTTTTGGTTATAGATTTTCCCAGTTGTTACGTCATTTTTCCATGAGCGTCATCAGAGAGTCCAAAAAATGAATTCATTAGCAATTACCGGCCTTTCTTAATTTCTTATTCAGCTTGCTCGAGAAACCAAGCTTAACCTGGCACGCACATCGTCCTCTAGGCTCCTCCGTGTACTTCTGTACAGATTACAGTAGAAAAAAGTAGCAATTACCGGCCTTTCTTATTTTCTTATTCAGCTTGCTCGAGAAACCAAGCTTAACCTGGCACGCACATCGTCCTCTAGGCTCTTCCGTGTACTTCTGTACAGATTACAGTAGAAAAATACAGCTTTCGCCATGGGCGTAAATATCCTGGCGGGCTACGAAGGGTGTATGCTCCACCCCAAACTTTTTGACCGGGGGAATGGGCTATTGAATCATCCACCCCCCACACTTTGTTCCTGAGGTAAAAAAAAACATTTACGGTGGACTTTGAGGAATTTTTGTCGGACTCTTCAATTACCGAAATGTATTATGCGCTGGATAAGGGAGAAAAATGAAACAAAAATCCATACATACACATAGGTTGTTTTGATGCAAGGTTCAGGGATTGTAAGCATGCATCTGTATAGTGAACAGCGCTCCCTAGTATCATATGGTGTCGGCACCCGGGCAACCTTTGGATTTATACCTTCCCACCAGTTCCCCTGCACAAATTTACACCACTGTTATTTACAGTGTTTTGTTTCAAGTAGGTCTTTCTACAGAGTTGGGACCTCAATGGGTTAGTAATACTGGATCTAAGAGATAGGAACTGATCACCAACGAGCCCTTGCAGGAGGGTTGTTTAAGCTCTCTGGAAGTTACTCGAGAAGCATTGCTCGATCTTAAGGGATGTCAGGCTGAGCATTCATAACACTTCGCTTCTCTCAGCTCTGGATTGGACAAAATGTCCGCTCAACAAGTTCTAGCAGCCCGACTAGATCAATTCGACACCAGAGCCCTCCGAATGATCGCGGGCTTAAGATGGAGACACGGTATGACTAATGAAGATCTCAGACTCGGACAGCGAATCTGCAACAACCTGCTGTGTCTACTCTATAGTTGCTCATCGCCGTGAACGCACATATGAAGCAAGATATGCGACGGAGAGCACCCCCACCTTTGTGTTGGTTATTGTTTGATCGGAATCTCGGGAATTCTTTACAGACATCTTCGGGTGTGTTAGGTAACAATAGTCTCGAGTGTATACAGGGATTGGACATGTAGGAGTGTACCCTCCATCCCATATCTTGCTGGGTATATGTACGCCGGTTTGGTCACCTTCAACGGTTACCAACTGACCAGCCGAGAAGGCCATTCTCAAGTTCGACTAAAACTCCGCCGGTTGGAAGAGATCCAGGGTGAACTTCACGCACCCGCTGGATTGACATCAACAGAGATCTTGAGGAGCTAAACGTGGACTTCGAAGAGTAGGCCTCGTGCAGGATCCCCTTTTGCGGAGATAACTGGTGGCTCACGTTTGGCCCACGAGTGTCAACATGCAAGAGACATGATGATCATAATGATGATGAATATTGGGTTTTGGGAATACCGCTGTCATGGCATACATATAGGGAGACTCTGTCAATAGAGGGAGCCCCTCTTGCTGTGTTTTTTAAAAGACCGTATAATAATTACATGTATTTGAATCTAACTTTGAATTTTTATTAATGTACCAATCACTATGAATACACCAACAAACCTCAATCCAAAAAGAGCTGGGGTGGAACCAACACCTACCCTGGACACTTTGCCCGATATCCAACATCGTCGCTCTGCGTTTTTCCCGTACCGAGACTTCTGGAGTCCAGTAATGTTTTGCAGTTGATTTCGACACCGAATTGTGAAAAATCGGTCAAGCTATTCAAGCGAAAGGTCTGCCAAAAATGTGCTCAATGCCCGCGGACCGTATGTATCGGATTGACTGAAACTTCACAAATGTAGTCATAACGAGAGTCTGCATGTGCCACGTTTCAAAAAGATTGGATTAGTAAAAGCTAAGTCAATACATGTACACTAACATGCGGCCATGGGCTCACAATACAATGCTAGAGTGAGACTTTCGTCTCACTGGATAGCAAGATATGTGTAATCCGTTATCATATCCGCTCTGGACTTCAAGGTTTTGTCAGGTGCACGTTTTTATCGACAATCGAATCCACCAAACAGAGCGGCTGCCGGAAATGGAATTGAAAGCTAGCTGGTGTATTAGAAATCAGTACATCACATGGTAGAAACCACATTGAACAGTATCCAAAGCAAAGGCAAAGAACAAAGTTACATCAAAATGTTGTATTTCACTTAAATATGTAGCTGTGCACTTAAGTCACTGCTGACTGTTAAAAGTTAGAGGTAAACGTCATAATTACATGATATCCTGCTGATTAAAAATAATTTTCGGTCAAATCCGGTATTCTTTAAGACTATTTAAATACACTGGTCGAATAAAATGGAAATTTAATAAAGGGACTTTAAAGGAATGAAGAAAAGTCTGGGGGAGTGATCTGCAGGCTGAGTTATTGGGCCCGTTGCCTGACCAGAGACTGGGGGGGGGGTTCGCAAACCAAAAAGTGGAACTTTTGGCACTGTGAGCACATATTTTTACACAAAGGCCTATCACAATGTGCTTCGGAAAACAACATTGAAAAGTTGCATGTCTGTCGCGAACCAAAGGTTGCATGTAAGACTTGTACTCTGTAGTATTCAATATTGAATAAACTTTGAAAAATACATTGATTTCAAACCCTTTGAAACAACTGAAATGTGGATATTTGCTGGAACTTCCTGACGGTACATATGACTAAAGGTCGTTTCATTAATATGCAGAATCGTGGTCACCTTGAGCTTGAGAATCAACGTATAAGCCGTGGCTCGTATGCAGAACATTACGGTATATTGTAAATATTCAGAGGGCCTACACACACACAAAAATAAAAGACTACCAACAAGTGGTACTCAGAAGCGAGTGGAGGGGGGTTCGTTCGAACCCCTCATCCCCAGCCTACGGGCCTGGCTATACTTAACGACGTTTCTGTACAAACTTTAAAAGCTGTAGGAAATGACCAACTTTTTATAACACAGCATTCAGCAAAATTAAACTGCAACTGCACAGATGAACATTAAATGACAAATATTAACCCGCGTTCGCTTTGCATATTAAATTGGCAACTGG